TGTTTCCAGTTTCTAGCCTTTATAAATAATGCTGCTATGAACAGATACATATAGGCTTTTGTGTGAACATAAGGCTTCATTTCTCTGGGATAACTGCCCATGAATGTGAGTGCTGCATCCTATGGCAATTGCACATTGAGTTTTTTAAGAAACTGTCAAGCTGTTTTCCAGATTGGCTGTACCATCTTCCATTCCCAGCAGCCAAGTGTGAGTGATCCCGTTTGCCTGCATCCTCACCAGCATTGGTCTTGTTACTACTTTTTATTTTAGGCATTCTGATAGGTGTATAGTGATGTAGCTTTAGTGTGCATTTTTCTGATGGCTCATGATGGTGAACATCTTTTCATGTGCTTATATGTTATCTGAAATGTCTCTTCAGGTCTCTTATTCATTTTCAAAGTAGATGATTTGGTTTCACTGCTGAATTTGGATAGTTCTTTATATATTATAGATATGAGTCCTTTATCAGACATGTAGTTTGCAAATAGTTTCTCCCAGTCTCTAGCTCCTCTTTTCATCTTTATTTTGCATTTTACGTTCTAGTCCATGATCCATTTTGAGTTAATTTTTGTACGAGGTATGAGGTTTAGGTCAGAGTTCAGGTTTTTTCCCTATGAATAATCAGGTAGCCAGTAACTTTTCTTAAGAGACAACGTATCACTCTGTCACCCACGCTGGAATGCAATGACAAGATCAGAGCTCACTGCAGCCTCGACTCCTGGGCTCAAGTTATCCTCCTGCTTCAGCCTCCTGGAGTAGCTGGGACCACAGGCAGGTGCCACCATGACCAGTTAATTTTTTTAGTTTTTGTAGAGACAGGATCTTGTGCCATGTTACCCAGGCTGGTGTGGAACCCCTAGGCTCAAGTCATCATCCCACTTATATGGGGCCAGGCAGTGGCACAGGACGGTAATCACAGCACTTTGGGAGGATGAAGCAGGAGAATCACTTGAACCCAGGAATTCCAGACCAGCCTGAGCAACAGAGGAAGGCCCTGTCTCTGCAAAAAAATTTTAAACATTAGCTGGGCATGGTGTTGTACACCTGTGGTCCCAGCTACTTGGGAGGCTGAGGTGGGAGGATCTCTCGAGCCTATGAGGCTGAAGCTGCAGTGAGCCATGATCGCACCACTACACTCCAGCCTGGGAGAAAGTGAGACCCTGTCTCCAAAAAAAAAAAAATGCTAGAGCATCACCCATATTAAAGACAGGTATTGTCTTTTTGAAAATTTAATTACAGTTATAAAATGGACATGCAAAATGTCCACTTTGAAAGCTTGAAAAATATATAACTCTAAGTATTCTTACCTTAAAATTCTGATTCCTACCTAAGATATCGTATACTGTTTACATAAGTATCACAATGCCTGTACAACAGCTGAAAATGTGTACAAGGGAGAAAAATGAGCATGTATGCCTATTAATTAAGGTATATTTCCCCCTTATTACATAAAAAAGTCATCACGGCCAACCCCTGTGACTGTATCTAAAGTAAACTTACAGTTTTACTTCTCTGTATTATAAAATGCAAGGCTAAAATTCAAATACTAAACATTTCCTAAAGCCAACGGTAGTTTACTTAACATAAATGCCTAGGGTCTATACCAAAAATATGAAAAAGCTAGCTACTTCATAGCCATTCCAATCTAAGTTCAGCTTTTTCTTTTTTAATTGACACATAATTGTGTACTGTACATATGTATGGAGCACACAGAGTGATGTTATAATACATGTAATGTATGTGATCAGTGTAATTAGCATATCCACCATCTCAAACATTTATCATTTCTTTGTGTTGGTAACGTTCAATACCCTTCCTCCAATTATCTGAAACTACATTTTTTTTTTTTTTTAGCATATCCACCATCTCAAACATTTATCATTTCTTTTGAAAGGTAACGTTCAACACCCTTCCTCCAATTATCTCTTGAAACTACATTTTTTTTTTTTTTTTTTTTTTTGAGACAAAGTCTTGCTCTGTTGCCCAGGCTAGAGTGCAGTGGTGTGATCTCAGCTCACTGCAACATCTGCTTCCCAGGTTCAAGCTACTCTCCTGCCTCGGCCTCCCTGGTAACTGGGGTTACAGGCACCCACCACTATGCCCGGTTAATTTTTGTATTTTTAGTACAGATGGGGTTTCACCACGTTGGCCAGGCTGGTCTCAAACTCCTGACCTCAGGTGTTTCACCCACCTCAGCCTCCCAAAGTGCTAGAATTACAGGCATGAGCCACCGCGCACAGCCTGAAACTATATATTCTTGTTAACTATAGTCATCCTATGTTATAGAACACTAGAACTTATTCCTATCCAGCTATAATTTTGTATCCTTTAACAAATTTCTCCCTATCTCCCTCTCCCCCCACCCTTCTCACCCTCTAGGATCCTCTGTCTACTTTCAACTTCCATGAGATCCACTCTTTTTTACCTTCCACATAAGAGAACATGTGCTGTGTGACTTTCTGTTCCTGGCTTACTTCGTAATATCTTCCAGTTCCATTCACGTTGCGGAGAATAACAGGACTTCATCCTGTGTTATGGCTGAATAGTACTCCACTGTGTATAAAGACCACATTTTCTCTATCCATCATCTGCTGTTGGACACCGAGGCTGATTCCATATCTTGGCTATGGTGAACAGTGCTGTAGGAAACAGAGGTGTGGATGCCCCTCCGACACTGATTTCCTTTTCTTTGGGTATCTACACTGTAGTGGGACTGCTGGATCACACTGTAATTTCATCTGCAGTTTTCTGAGGAACCTCCATACTGTTTGCCATAGTGGGTGCCCTAGCTTACTCTTACTCTTTCTCTTTTTTCTCTTCGCGACAGAGTCTCACTGTTGCCCAGGGTGGAATACAATGGTGCAATCTCGGCTTGCTCACTGTAGCATCCGCCTCCCGTGTTCCAGTGGTTCTCATGCCTCAGCCTTCTGAGTAGGTGGGATTACGGGCGCCCGCCACTGCACCTGGCAAATTTTTGTATTTTTTAGTAGAGATGGGGTGTCGCCACGTTGGCCAGGCTGGTCTTGAACTCGTGGGCTCAAGTGACCCGCCCACCTCAGCCGCCCAACAGCACCGGGATTACAGGTGTGATCCACCGCTCCCAGCTAATTTTTGTGTTTTTAGTAGAGGCGGGGTTTCACCATGTTGGCCAGACTGGTTTCAAACTCCTGACCTCAGGTGATCTGCCGGCCTCGGCTTCCCAAAGTGCTGGGATGTCAGCGTGCGCCCTGCGCCCAGCCAGCTGCTCTAGTTTACACACCCCTACAGTGTGTAAGAGCTCCCTTGTCTCCATATCCTCGCCAGCACTTGTTATTTTTTGTCTTTTTGATAATACCCATCCTAACCGGTGAGATGATACCTCACTGTGGTTTTGACTTGCATTTCTCTGATTATAAGTGATACTGAGCATTTTTTTCACATATTTTTTCGCCATTTGTAAATCTTCTTTAAAGAAATCTCTGTTCGCTTGGATGTGGTGACACAAACCTGTAAGCCCAGCACTCAGAACGCTAAGGCAGGAGAACAGCTTGAGCCTAGACCAGCCTAGGCAACATAGTGAAAACCTAGCTCAAAAGAAAAAAATGAAGAAGAAGAAGAAGAAGAAGAAGAAGGAAGAAGAAAGAAGAAGAAGAAGAAGGAAGAAGAAGAAGAAGGAGGAGGAGGAGGAGGAGGAGGAGGAGGAGGAGGA